AGAGATGAACTGTGGAATTACTTTAATTTAACTCCTGTAGCAGGAAGAGGGTCCCAAGAGGTTTACTATGTAGTGCCTATATAGTTGGATGGCATCAGTATCTTTTCTGGGAGAAATATAGGCTTCCAGATACTTAGGCATATAGGGTTAATTTGTAGGAGTTTATGCTTGTATTCAAAGCACTCCTGGCTTGCCACTCACAGAGCTGAACCCCTTCAGCTGACTACAAGTTAGTTGTGATTCTGGTTAATGATGCTATTCAAAAACAAACATTAGTATCAGTAGGGAATTCTGAAACAGCAAATAATAAAACAAACAACAGACAAACAAAAAAAAACCCCAAACTGCCTCTTCTAGGCAGAGATGTGGTGGCTGGTCTTCCCAGATCACTCTTTGTCCAATAATTGTCTCAAGCTTACTGTAACTTTCTGGATACAACAGAGGCATATTAAAGTCTGCTGGAGTGGGAAAAGAATATTTATATTATATTTACAGGAATTCCCTTTATCGTCAACTGTTTTGTCCTGAGACAGATTCTTAACCCTCCTTCTGAACTCTGTTGTTTCTTCAAATCTGGCAAACTGGTTTAAAGCTGTCCTCACAAGTAGAGACTGTTTTGTCCTAATGCCTAGATCACACAAAAATATTCTGTATTCTAGAGCTTTTTATTCATAATTTCTGCAAGACTCTAAATTATTTCAAATTAATACAAATAACATTTCTGTCCTATTGACCTCAAATGACAGTAAGCTAATTTATGAATTGAATGCATTTGTTCATATGCTTGCTTGACTAAACCTTTGAACAATTTTCCAAATCACTAACACATTTGTAAACACATTATTGTTTTTCAGTGTTTGTACCTTGTTTTCAAATGAATAGTCATTTTTTATAAATACTCCAGAAATTACAGTCAGCGTTAGAGAGGCTGGTTCAGCTACCATTCATGCTGTGTTAGAGAAGTCGAGTAGTGGCATGGCACTCTCACTTTCCTTCTAAAGAACAGAGCCAATTGCCCTTACCACTTTCACATAGCTATTGCTCCATTGAAATTGGCATTTTCGCTTTAAGAATGGAACAACACTTTATAATTTAACAAAACTTGAAGCAAGAGTAGAGAGCAGAATGTAGAGCAGTCCTCAGTATATTTTGGAGGAAGCTTTACTTAGATTTTGGAACATTGACATATTTATTATAACAAGTAATATCTGAATGCTGTCCTTAATCTGGTTTGTATCTTAAAAAATACAAATGAAAGAAAACTGTCCAATTATCTAATGCCTTTGCTACAGTGTTAGCCACCTATATCGGAGTATACATTCCTAGAATGGCAACAGTAGGAGAAACTTGATCTGAAATTCTAGTTGCTAAATAGCTTCAGAAATTATGCAGTTCCTTCACTGTTAGATTGATTTTGTTGTTCAGAAATGTTGTATTTCCAAATCTGTTCTGTTCAAAGCAGAAAAAATGAAAACGGTAGCATCCACAGAGATCATTGCAGCTGTTAATTTCTTAGAACATGGCTTTCAAGTGAGTCTTTTCAATAAAGACTCCTTTTTTATTTTTCCTTTTTTATTGATAATTCCTTTTTTGTTGATAATTTCCTACACTGGGGATAGCAGCTATTGTTGCTTGAACAGACCTACAGATTTCCCAGTGTTTTGTCTTATTTATCCTACACTTTTGTTTTCTGTATAAACTCTTTACATCCAAAAAGTCTTTTAAAATTTGTATTGCTTTCTGCAACCGGCAATAGGACTCAAAGGGGATACTAAACCAGGTGAAGTCCTATTCTTGCAGTTCAAGAGCATATGACATATGATACCCTTCCAATCATATTTTATGGGTGAAGCAATACAGCTTTACCATCTTCCCTTACTCAGACATCATTTATCTGTTCACCACATTCATTGAAGTGTGTTGCTCATGTAGTTGCACGTCTAGCACTTTGGGTAGGATTGATCTTACTGTCCGTGATGTCTAATATGAAGGCATTTAGTTCTGAGCTAGTTGCCTGTCTTCTCTTTTCTAGTCAACTGGTAAAAAAAGCCTTTTTGCAGTTGTGATTCACCTCTTCCACAATTAGGCAGCAAAAATAGGTTAGATGAAACTCCTTCTTGTTCATTAACTGGCATTGCCTGGGAATGTTTATACATCAATTTTAACTTAATTCTAAAGTCTCTGTGAAATCTACAGGAATAATAAGAGTGGAGGAGTTAGAGTAAAAAAGGAATTAAATTGTTATAAGAAAACAGTAAAGGATGTATTTTGCCCACTTTGTAGTATTTGCTTCCAAAATTGATAAAATACTGCATGTGAAGGATATCTGTTCATAGAGATCCACAATACATTCTTTGCATTTTTCTTCTGTATTGGTTACCATTTAGAAATGCTAATAAGTGAATGTATTGCTTGTGTTAACAGTAGCCACATCATTCAAATGCACTTTAATGGGGCTTATCTCCTGGTAGCACACACTTTATTGCTTATTTATAGTTTTCATTCTAGAAGGTGTCAGTGTTCAAGATGAAAATAGAAATGGAAGTTCTGCTTCATTTCTGCGAGTGCATTGTTGTGATTGCCATTTTCTGACAATAGTGTTATTGAATTACCACTGTTAGTCCATCTGCACTGAAAAATGTTGTTGCTAAAATAAATTGTCATTTTAGCATTTGTTAATTAACCCTAATGTAGCCAGTCCTCTTTGTGTCTCAAAATCCAAATGAAGGAAATGGAAGTTTTACCACTGCGTTCAACAAGCTTTGGATGAGATTTTCTATCCATTTTATTGGGGTGTTTTTTCTGAAATGGGTAACATTTGAGTGTCAGATTTTTATTTTTTTTTTTCAGGCCAAGTCAAGCTACTCAACCTTGTTTCAAAAAAAAAAAAAAGTAATCATAATGATGACTGCTTTATTTAATTATTTGTGATAGTGAGACATTTTTCATTGCTTCTTATTTTTTCCCAAATTAATTAGGAAATCAAAATGGCCATTACTGAATGACAGCAGATGTCTCTGATCACCAGACATCATTTAATGCAATGTACTGAGTGCAATTCTTGTTTTATTTTCATTTTGTTTTATATACAGGATGAATTTGAAAATCCAATTTCATCAAGGAAAACAGTGTAGGTAAAAAAAAATGCATCTGTGCATGTCATTGCACATATATTTCTTCATGCAATCCCATTTATTATTATTGTCATAGAATCATAAAATCATAGATTGATACAGGTTGGAAGGGAACTCTGGAGGTCATGTGGCTGAATACCCACACATAATGTCCTAATTTATCTATGTACTCCACTTTTTTATCATCATTGCCACCTTTCCAAGGGATATTATAATTACTTAGCAAGTACACTCTCCAAACAATCTCAGAAGCCAATGGGAAATTGCCTCTTTCTTTTCTGGCACTAAGTCCACCTGCTGCAGCAAGCGAATGGCTTGTCAGATGGATCTGCATGATTTTCCCTCAACCCACCAACTTTAAAATGTCAGCCTTTGTAACAGATTTTCCTCAGCTCTGTTGGGAAATTTCAACTCCCACGAGGTTTCAAAATTTACATAAACAAATTCTCCTACTCTTACATTTCTTCTTTGCTCCTAGTTTACAAACAAGACCAACAGGTATTACTTATTTAACTGCTGATGTTCCTTTATTCATGACCCAGTCATTTGAGCTGATGAGAAATGAAGACAGTCAACCCTTTTAACAAGGCAGTTTTAGAATGCTGTAACATTAAAAGACAAGTAGAAATAGTAGCAATAATGTAAGGTAACTACTCCTTATCCAGAAAAAGAGCATAGCAACAGAAACGATCTGAAAATCCTTAAAGGAGGCTCTGTATTTCAAAGTTCTTATCTCATCCTCTTTGACACAATAATTGGGTATCAGCTGATGAATTAATTCTTACTGGGCAGGTGAGCAAATCAAAATTAACATTCAAATTGGACCATTCTTGGATGTTTAAGTAAAAAGAATAAAGATAAAATGGTTGTGAAGACAGAATTATCTTTATATGCTCTGAGATCCCTAAAGGACAAGGTTAAAGCTCATTTGCAGGCTGATGTGGAGAAGTATATTCTTATACTTTGGTTGGTTTCCAGGACCAATAATTTTAGATTCCTAATCAGTATAAAATTTGCTGGAGCAAGTTACAAAGAGTGGCTTCACTCTCATTCATACAGAAACCCTCTTTAAAGAATTCAGTCTAAATAGGTTTGAATGTAATTTACATTCACTGCAAAGCTCTCCACAGTGCCAAGGTAGTGTGAGGAGCCCTTTGTGAAAATGAAATGTGAGCCCACGGTGCCTTAGAGTTACGGAGCATATCCACGTGGATGCCTCTTTTAAATACGTGTGCACGTGTGTGTTTATTGCATTGCACATTTTGAGTTTAGTCAATGTCTGTTCTTATTTGATGAGAAATTAGGGACTAATTAGTAGGTTTGATAATGAAACCGTGTGGTCTCCAGAGGCACTCCATACATTAACTTCCTTTTTTTTCTTAGAATGTCTTATTCTAACACTCACACTGAGATTTTTGCCATGCTGCCTCTATAGGTTGCTAGGCAGCAAAGCTTTTCCCCCAAACTGTTAGCTGTATTCTTCATGCTGAGACTCTTTCAGATATCCTCAGCGGTTTGAATCTTCTTGCTGAGGGGTTTCCTTGATTGAGAGCAATTGCTTCCAAAGGTCACTGGCTCTCTGTGGATGAGCCCTTTTCTCTGATGTGCACAAATCTTCTCATTTTATACTTCCAAGAAATCCTGTAGCAATTGAACCATGGTCCTGATTGCAACAAGCCTTGTGCAGTCGTGCCCTACTGTATACTGCCTGGTGCCAATTGCTATGTATAATAATGTTTGTATGGCAAGAGATCTTAAAAGGCAAAAGGACAACAATATTTGTATGTGCCAAGAGTAATGAAAAAGCCACTCGAAGTCATTCAAGCTGTTCTTTTTTTCTTTTCTTTTTTTTTTTTTTTTTTTTAGGGCAGGTTCTGGATGTGCTGGAGAAATATAATCTGAGCAATAAAACTCTTGTATACTTTACGTCTGACCAAGGGGCTCATGTTGAAGAAATCTCCAGTTCTGGAGAAGTCCATGGAGGATACAATGGCATATATAAAGGTGAACATTCTCTCATTATTCTTAAAAACTGTCAGAAACTATCATCTCCTTGTTTTTGCTCCAAAACTGTAATGTACTTTGTGGCCAACGTCAAAACCCCATTCCTGAATAGTAAACTTCTTATGACTGTCATTCTAAATTCAAACTTAGGCAGTAATATAAGGGATTTACTTGTCAAATACAACAGCTCAACCAGACTACATGCTCAGCCAGAGCTCTGTGGAGTTTTAACACTAGCAAATACACTCTTGAACTGGGCAGAGATACAGCTTTGGAAGGATGTCAGTTCATAGTACTTTACTATAATGGCTGAATAGCAGGATAGAAAGGAAAAAAAGGTGGTTTGTGAGCCATCAGGAATCGTAAATAGGAACTAAATATGATGGAGTGAGTGGGATCACACAAAGATAGGATATAGAGAAGATAGGAGAACCAGCAACAGAGTCCACTGTGTTCATTACAGAAAAAGTAGAAAAGGAAAGTTAGGTTAAAAAAGAAAAAATGAGAGCAGTTGGATTGAGTTTGGGATGGACAAGTTTGACAACAGCCAGAGGACAAGATTTCAAGCAGAAAAGACTGAGTTGGAGAAGAGAGTTTTGAAAATAATGCGTAACACGCTTACTGAATTGAAGACTGATTGGGAAATTGAGAGACTTTAGTTAAAAGGACAGAGTTTAGTTGTATTCTTTTAGTACAGGTCTTGTGGAGATCAGTACTCCAAAATCTGTTTGTTCTGTGGAGACTTAAAATGTGTTTAAAATCTACCTTACTGTAATACATTTATTTTCTCCCAGTGATATCACACAGCAAAGCTGGAAGATACTGCTTTTGTTGCAATATTGTGATCTTGTAGAAAAAAATTCCAGCTTAGCAAACAGCCTTCCTCATTTTGTCCATTCCCATATCCCTGGCATGGTGATCCCTTCAGTCAGCAGGAGTGTAATACACTACTGGATACCTTTGAGAACATGGTTCCAACATAGGGATGAACATAATTATTGTCAGCAATGTATTTTTGAGAAAAGCAGACAAGAAGAGATAATAGGATAATAGGATGAGAGAATGAAGGATGTAGAGGTGAAGGAATTTTACTGGATAGCATGGCTATAACATTCAGTCACAGATTGGTCATAATCAAAGATTATGATTATTCAGTCACAGACTGCTCATAGGCATTGTCAAATATGAAATAAAGGATTCCCTTTGACAAACTACAGAAAACAGTGTTTTCCAGCATGCGAGTGGTGGACACAGCATCAGGAAAATAAATGTCAAAATGTTTTTAATAGTCTTCAATCTTACTGAAATAGGGTAGGAATGCTTGTTTTTATTATTTTTAATGAAATGCAGTGAATATTCTTGTCCTTTTACCGGAGGTAAAGTTCTTTTCCTTTTTTCACTAGGAAGTGGCTGTGTGATTTGTTTTCCCCTCATATTTCAGGCGACAAGATGAAAGAAATCCAGCAGTTTATGGAAAGCATTTACCAAACTTGAAACTTTTAGTTGCAGAGAGAAAGAAGTAAATTGCCTTTAGGTATGATTTTTTAAAAAAGTAGTATTGCAGAACTACAAAATCACATAGTAGTTGAGTCTGGAAGACACCTCCCAAGGTCTGTAGTCCTAGCCCCTGCAGAGCAGGGTCAGCTAAAGCAGGTTGCTCGGGGCTGTGTCCAGTCTGTGTCCAGTCAAGTTGTGAAAATCCACAATGGTGGAGACTCCACAGCCTCTTTGGGCAACTTGCTCCAGTGTTTGATCTCACTCACTGTAAAAAAAGCTCTTTCTTATGTTTAAATGGAATTTTCTGTGTTTCAGTTTGTGCCCATTGCCTCTTGTCCTGTCAGTGGGCACCACTGAGAAGAGCCTGGCTCTGTTCTTTTTACTCAGGTAGATCCATGTATCCATACAGACGGGTAAGATTGCACTGAACCTTCTCTTCTCCAGGCTGAACAGTCCCAGCTCTCTCAGCCTCTCCTCATATGTCAAACGCTCCAACTGCTTAGTCATTTTCCTGGCCCTCCTTTGAACTCACTCCAGTATGCCTATATCTGTCGTGTACTGGGGAGTTCTGCACTTGGACCCAGCACTCCAGGTGTATCTTACCAGTGCTGAGCAGAGGATAAGGATTACCCCCCTCAACTTGCTGGAAACGTTCTTTCTAATGCAGCCCAGGCTGATGTTGGCCTTCCTTGCCACAAGGGCACATTGCTGGCTCACGTTCAGCTAGTTGTCCACCAGGACCCCTAGGTCCTTCTCTGCAGAGCTGCTTTCTAGCCAGTCAGCCTCCAGCCTGTGCTGGTGCTAGAGGTTATTCCTCTGCAGATGCAGGACATGGTATTGCCCTTTGCTGAACTTCATGAGGTTCCTTTTGGCCCATTTCTCCAGCCTGTCGAGGTCCCTCTGGATGGTAGCACAACCATCAGTGGATCAGCTGCTTCTCACAGTTTTGTATCATCATCTGCAAAACTGCAAAAAGGAAGAAAGATAGACATATACAGTAAGCAATAACAGTACAGTGAGGTTTTCAAGCGAGAAGACTCCACAGTTTTTAGTCAGTAGGTATCTGTCTGAGAAATTACCCTTATATTTTAAGAGAGCTGCAAAGGAAATGGTACGCAAGCAAAACAAGCAATGCCGAAGTCATGAGGTTACAAACTATCAGATGGGTCCCCTTGGGCTAACACCAGAGTGAAATGTATCTTGAACGTTAGCACATAGGCCTTGCATAGTGATTTAAGTAATTAAGGAACCATGTGGTTACATATCTGTAGCTGTAGGCGCAGCCTGAGGTGTTTTAGAAGGTCTAAAAAATACTTGCCTTCTAGAATGCCAGACATAAGATACAGGATAAATGACAAGGAGGAACAAAAAGACAAATACACTAGAGAAAATGCCTTCCTGAGGAACTTTGATTGAATGGAGTCTTTTCTACAAAATTTTGTATTCATACTTAAAGAATGGAGAACAATTTGAAATAGATCTTACCTGAATTAATAAAAAATCTGACTGATAGGGTTACTTGGGGAGCGATGGGTCTTCTTATTTTTAAAATGAATCGTGTGGTTTACAGTTACCACCTATGCTATGCTGGCAAAAGTTGTAATATACTATGGGATAGAAAATAATCACTATATAAGAAACACAATAATTATGGCATGAGAGACATTCTTAATAAAATAAAAAGAAATGAAAAGACCCATGCAATCAGTTGAATATACTTTTACCATTTTAAAATACAATGATTTCTGCTTTATCTTCCACCCTCTCCATCTCCATATCAGTCCTTAATTTAACAGGTATATTATGCATAATTTTCAAAAGGGCTGAAGTGGAAGTGATCAATTAATTGCATAATTAACAATTTTCATACATAATAATGTATTTGTATTAACAGTCATGTACAATAAGAAGTGTTAGCGGTCTGTACATCTCTGGCAGATTTAATGAAAACAAGACCTGTGAACCCCTAAGTCTCAGGCACTGATAGAACAATGTGCCTAAAAAAGCAAAAGGACAATCTTGTGCTCGTGTGTGCACGCACTAGGAATTTGCTTCATCTGATGAGTAGTTTACAAAACTGGGAGACATGCACGTCCTTTGTCCCTGCCTCTGCTAGACAATCTCCACTACTTATCTTTTTATATATCAGCACTGCATGAATGTGAATATGAATCAAGCCACTTCACCCTCTTGTCAGAGCTGGAGCAGTATGCTCAGCAATAATTGGTTCTGCCCTAAAATCAAAAGCTCTCAACAGATCTCCACAATTTGAACTCACTAATTTGTCTTGATATCCCGCCAAATGAGCCCCAATAATAAAATTTAAGAGGAGTTTGGAGAGTTAGGCTCGCACTGCAAGACTGAACACAAAGAGGGGAAATTTCTATTTGAAAGTTTTATTACTCTGGGTTCTGACTGTGGAACAGTCACTGTAAATTTGGATAGCCCTTGAAATTAGGAACCAGAGCTAACACAATGTTTAACTAGTTGCTGTCAAACACAGTCTGGTTCATCTCTTCAGTAGCCTTTTTTAGAAGACATTATTTAGTAATATTGAAGTGATGAATCAAAATCACAGCCTGTCTTTCTAGTGGCCTTTTTCTGACAGTTATCAGGAGCAGAATCCTTGGAGGAAGATACAGGAGCTGTGTAGTAAATAAAGATCCCTAAGATCTCCTCCTAATCCTAGATATTATGACCTTGGTGTGAGATGTGAATCCTGACAATTTAGATTCTACAAAGAGTTTTAGCATGAGTTATATACATTTTCATCATAGGACGATGAAATTCCACTTTGAGTCTTTGTTTTGGGTTTCTGTGGCGGGGTTTTGGTATGGGGTGAGGGTCCGCAGGGCCGGCTCCTGTGAGAAGCTGCTGGAAGCTTCCCCGGCTCCAAGCCGGACCCGCCTCTGGCCCAGGCCGAGCCCCTCAGCGACGGCGGTAGCGCCGCTGGGAGAGCGGAGTTCAGAGGGGAAACCTGCGGTGAGTGGGGGGATTGGGATGGGAGAGGAACCCCTCTGCGGGTACCGAGGTCAGTGAAGGAGAAGGAGGAGGAGGGGAGGCCCCCTGTGCCACGGTGAGGCAGCAGGCTGTCCCCCCCAGCCCAGGGAGGGGAGCGGGGGAGCGGAGGCCGCCAAGATGGCCGCCACTCTGTGGGGAAGCCTGCGCTGGAGCAGGCTGGGACTGAAGGACTGCAGCCCGCGGGAAGGATCCACCTTGGAGAAGTTGGTGGAGGACTGTCTCCCGTGGGAGACACCCCACGGCGGAGCAGGGCCCGAGTGCGGAGTCCTCCTCCCCCTGAGGAGGAAGGAGCGGCAGAGACAAGGTGTGGCGAGCTGACCCAGCCCCCATTCCCCAAAGGTGTTCTGAGGTTTGGTTTTACTTCTCAGTATCTTTGTTTTTATCTGATTGGTAGTAAATTGAATTGATGTTGTTTCTTCCCCCAGTTGAGCCTGTCTTTTGCCCGTGCCCATAAGTGGTGAGTGATCCCTCCCTGTCCTTGT